AATTCATCCACCAATCTCTGCAACTTCTCTTCAGAATCTCCCAAGAGCACAGTGTCATCAGCAAAGAGCAGCTGTGACAACTCCCACTTTGTGTGTGATTCTTTATCTTTTAACTCCACGCCTCTTGCCAAAACCCTCGCATTTACTTCTCTTACAACCCCATCTATAAATATATTAAACAACCACGGTGACATCACACATCTTGTCTAAGGCCTACTTTTACTGGGAAAAAATTTCCCTCTTTCCTACATACTCTAACTTGAGCCTCACTATCCTCATAAAAACTCTTCACTGCTTTCAGTAACCTACCTCCTACACCATACACTTGCAACATCTGCCACATTGCCCCCTATCCACCCTGTCATACGCCTTTTCCAAATCCATAAATGCCACAAAGACCTCTTTAGCCTTATCTAAATACTGTTCACTTATATGTTTCACTGTAAACACCTGGTCCACACACCCCCTACCTTTCCTAAAGCCTCCTTGTTCATCTGCTATCCTATTCTCCGTCTTACTCTTAATTCTTTCAATTATAACTCTACCATACACTTTACCAGGTACACTCAACAGACTTATCCCCCTATAATTTTTGCACTCTAATTTTATCCCCTTTGCCTTTATACAAAGGAACTATGCATGCTCTCTGCCAATCCCTAGGTACCTTACCCTCTTCCATACATTTATTAAATAATTGCACCAACCACTCCAAAACTATATCCCCACCTGCTTTTAACATTTCTATCTTTATCCATCAATCCCGGCTGCCTTACCCCCTTTCATTTTACCTACTGCCTCACGAACTTCCCCCTCACTCACAACTGGCTCTTCCTCACTCCTACAAGATGTTATTCCTCCTTGCCCTATACACGAAATCACAGCTTCCCTATCTTCATCAACATTTAACAATTCCTCAAAATATTCCTTCCATCTTCCCAATACCTCTAACTCTCCATTTAATAACTCTCCTCTCCTATTTTTAACTGACAAATCCATTTGTTCTCTAGGCTTTCTTAACTTGTTAATCTCACTCCAAAACTTTTTCTTATTTTCAACAAAATTTGTTGATAACATCTCACCCACTCTCTCATTTGCTCTCTTTTTACATTGCTTCACCACTCTCTTAACTTCTCTCTTTTTCTCCATATACTCTTCCCTCCTTGCATCACTTCTACTTTGTAAAAACTTCTCATATGCTAACTTTTTCTCCCTTACTACTCTCTTTACATCATCATTCCACCAATCGCTCCTCTTCCCTCCTGCACCCACTTTCCTGTAACCACAAACTTCTGCTGAACACTCTAACACTACATTTTTAAACCTACCCCATACCTCTTCGACCCCATTGCCTATGCTCTCATTAGCCCATCTATCTCCAATAGCTGTTTATATCTTACCCTAACTGCCTCCTCTTTTAGTTTATAAACCTTCACCTCTCTCTTCCCTGATGCTTCTATTCTCCTTGTATCCCATCTACCTTTTACTCTCAGTATAGCTACAACTAGAAAGTGATCTGATATATCTGTGGCCCCTCTATAAACATGTACATCCTGAAGTCTACTCAACAGTCTTTTATCTACCAATACATAATCCAACAAACTACTGTCATTTCGCCCTACATCATATCGTGTATACTTATTTATCCTCTTTTTCTTAAAATATGTATTACCTATAACTAAACCCCTTTCTATACAAAGTTCAATCAAAGGGCTCCCATTATCATTTACACCTGGCACCCAGTACATAGTACATATTATTAATAACATGTATTGTTATGTTATTAAATACCACTGCCTCAATCACTGCCTCTACCACTCCAGTCACACTCAATCTACAAGCACCAAACACAATGAATTACTGTGAAATGTTTGGAAGAGCAGGGAGACTAATGTTCATTCCAGCATAAACAAAGTCACACTGACGATGTGTCAACCACTCCCTCGTATTTTTGTACAATTTCCTTCTTCAATTATATCATATTTATTATTATTATTATTATTATTATTATTATTATTATTATTACTATTGTTATTATTAGTTGCAGCAGAAATGTTTAATTCTTTGCAGTGTTCAAGAGTAAACACATGATGTCACCGTCTAATACCTGTCCGAATAGCCATTCCAATATGCAGTCATAAATGGGTTTACATTATTTATACTGTAGTTTAATAGCAAATAATGAACAAACAAAACACTCACCACACTGAGTGGTGGGAGGGCTGGCTGCCAGTTGCGGGGGTCAGAGGGAGGGTAGTAGGGACTCGCAGGTGGCGGGAAACTTAAATACGATTTGGCGGTTGGGAATTCGCGAATGTGTGAAGCCCGTGAAAGTTGAAAACATGAATGTTGAGGGAGACCTGTACAGTGGACCCCCGCAAACGATATTATTTCAATCCAGAAGTCTGGGTGCCGTTATAGACCGAATTTGTTCCCATAAGAGATATTGTGAATTAGATTAGTCCGTTTCAGACCCCCAGAAATACACCTACAAAAGCACTTACAAAAATACACTTACATAACTGGTCGAGTTGGGAGCTGATCGTTATGTGGGGGTCCACTGTAAATGAGATTGAGATACTCATATGTCAGGAGCTTGAATATCCAGCAGGCTCGTGTGAGCATGTTAAATTGTAGTGATTGGAGCAAAGTGGTTTTTACAACTTGAAGTGCTGTTAGAGTGTAAGCAAGGTAAAATTTTATGGGAGGACTTGAATCCTGGAGGTGAAAGTACATTGCCTGCACTCTGCAGGAAGGGTGAGGGTGTTGCAGTTTGAAGGGTCATGTGAACTGTGATGGCAGCATACTTTTGGTAAGTCAGTGAATGAATGAATGATGATAAATGTATCTTTTATTTATTTTTTTTTTTGGGGGGGGGGAGGGGGTTCTCATACTTGAGTGGGAGGTGGCCAGTGTGTTAAAATAAATATTTCTTGGATGTATACAGTAGTTTTGTTTAAGGTTGTATTATTCAATAATAATAATAATTTTTATTTTGACATTATACATGGTTGTACAATGGAATATAATAGTTGGGTGCACATACCAAAAGCCCTTTTGTGTGCAGAGCATTTTGGGCAAACTTATAATTAACTTAACCCTTTCAGGGTTTCGGCCGTACTAGTGCAGCTTACACGCCAGGGTTTTTGACGTACTAGCACACATAAATTCTAGCGCCTTCAAATCTCGCGGGAAAAGGCTGGTAGGCCTAGATGTGAGAGAATGGGTGAGTGTGGTCGGTGTGCGTGGTAGAAAAAAAATCTGGGACCCAGTGGCGCATTGTGGGAAGGCCATTTTAGTAGACCTTGTTCACCATGCCTCGTGGTAAGAAGCTCCTCACTCCTCGGTGAATTGGGACGCTTTTGTTCTCCAGTGACAGTTCTAATACAGATGGAAGTGCCAGTGAAGATGAGTTTCAAGGTTTTGGCGAGGTTTTGACTGAAACTAATGACCATAATATCGGTAATAGTGAGGAAAACCCAGACGACCCTCAGCCTTCCACCTCTGCTGCTGGGCCATCTTGTTCACGTTCAGTTGTACCAGAATCAAAGAGGAAACTCCTATTTTCCCAAATCCCGGACTCAGATGTGAGCATTGGTGATGATAGTGGTAGTGAATATGAACTACAAGCTCTTGAAAACACTTCCAGTAGTGATAGTGAAGTGGAATATTCTCCAGTGAAGCGTCGGTATATACGACGATATATGCGCTCTGGTAGTGTGCCATATGCTATTCCAAGGGGAAGGAGTACATCTCAGAGTACATCCCGTGGCTGTACAACAGGAACAGACAGTGAAAATGACGATGATAGCATTGCAACTGGGATGGAAAATGTGCATGGTGGTGGTAGTGGTGGTGCCGGCCGTGAGGCATCAGCAGTGGGCCATGCTGCCAACCATGCAACTGCCTCAGCTGATCTACAACAAAGGCCACCATCCCCCACCCACCCACCACACCAGCCTCCACAACCACAACCACCTTTCAGTGTCCAGTACGGTACCACTAGCAGACCGCACCTGGGATTGGCAGGAAGCTGTCAATTTTGTTCCAAATCCCCACCAGTTTGATGAAAGCCAAAGTGGAATACGGCCATGTTGTACACTGGGGAACAATGCCACTGAACTGGAATATTTTAAGTTATTCTTTGACGAACTCCTGATGGAAATTATTGTCAAGGAAAGCAACAGTTACTACAAGTACACCATGGCAAACACAATACTTTCACTAAGCTCATGGCTACACAAGTGGACGGAGAGAACTGTGGCTGAGATGTATCTTTTCTTTGCCACAATAATGCTTATGCCACATGTGTATAAGCACAGTGTGAAATCATACTGGTCAACAGACTGCCTGATTGCAACCCCAGGTTTCAGTGATATAATGGGAGTGAATCGATTTGTGCTACTGTTACGTATGCTTCACTTCTCAGACAAAACCAGGCCTGACAGAAACGACAGGTTGTATAAGATTAGGAATGTGTTTGTGTATCTGAAAGAGAAATTCAATATGTATTTTTATCCCTTCAGGAAGCTTGTAATTGACGAGTCTTTGATTCTGTTCAAAGGAAGACTCTCTTTCAAGCAGTACATACCAAGCAAGAGGAAACAATGCCTGCACTCCCCATATCCAGGACTCGAGTATGGCTAATCGGTTTCCCTGAATCCCTTCACAAAATATTACCTTCCTCACACAATGTCTTATGTAACTTAATATGTAGAGTTCTGTAGGTTTTGGTATTCAAATAAGGTTTCTAATGTCTTAATTTTAACAATATGACTTGTTGAATTTTACCATGACCTACATTGGTGGTAAGTGGTGCAAGGTGCTGATTTACATCATGCAATGTTCTTTGTATCCCAGAGAGCAAAGTGGTGTGTATAGTTATGTAATTTGTGTTGCACTTAGAGATACTGTACTTTATCTAGAAAATATATTTTGCTTTTCCTGTCTTTACACTCCTTGATATTGCCAGCTTTCTTACCTTTATGTTTGTCTGGTTTCAGATGAATGATTCGAAACAACCCACCTACAGCTCCATTCACTTTGAGCAATCACTTGATGGTACTGTGGCCTCCCTGGTCAAGTATCGTAATGGTGCAAACACTAGCAAGTAAGTACGTCTTCTTTCTTTCAACAAGCCGGCCATATCCCACCGAGGCGGGGTGGCCCAAAAGGAAAAACGAAAGTTTCTCCTTTTATCTTTTCTTTCAAGACACTGGCCGTATCCCACCGAGGCAGGGTGGCCCAAAAGGAAAAACAAAAGTTTCTCCTTCTACTCTTTCTTTCTTTTAACACACCGGCCATATCCTACTGAGGCGGGGTGGCCCAAAAGGAGAAACAAAAGTTTCTCCTTTTACATTTAGTAATATATACAGGAGAAGGGGTTACTAGCCCCTTGCTCCTGGCATTTTAGTCACCTCTTACAACACGCATGGCTTACGGAGGAAGAATTCTGTTCCACTTCCCCATGGAGGTAAGAGAAAATAAACAAGAACAAGAGCTAGTAAGAAAATCGAAGAATATCCAGAGGGGTGTGTATATATATGCTTGTACATGTATGTGTAGTGTGACCTAAGTGTAAGTAGAAGTAGCAAGACATACCTGAAATCTTGCATGTTTATGAGACAGACAAAAGACACCAGCAATCCTACAGGCTTTCGTTTTACACTCACTTGGCAGAATGGTAGTACCTCCCTGGGTGGTTGCTGTCTACCAACCTACTACCTAGGAAGTAAGTACTACATCCTCCAAATTTGTATCACATTAATTGTTGTTAGCACCACTGCCACACATGCTAATAATGGTAATAATTTTCTTTTAACACAATGGCCATCTCTTGCCACAGCAGGGTAAACGCAAGAAAAAAAACATTCACTCAATCACCATCTTTCCAGAAGTGTGCTGACATCACTATCAGATTACTCCTCTGACAACAACATTCCTACCCCTTCCATCAGAGTGCAGGCACTGCGATTTCCACCTCCAGGACTAAAGTCCTGTTCATATAACAATAAGAAGTAATTTATATATTTTGTAAATGTATATACAGTGGAACCCCGAGTTTCAGCCTCCCTGAGTATCGGCTGCTTTTTTTGGCTAAATTTTGTCCTGAGTTTCGGCTGGCATACCAGACCTGTCCGCCTGCATGCCTCCCCATGCAGGCATTGTGAGTCAATCTAGCTTTGTTTATCCTTGAGTGAAGATTACCCTGCATGCTCATCCAAACATTTCATAATAAATTCATTGTGTTTAGTGCTTGTTTATTGATTATGACTGTGAAATAAGCCACCATGGGCTCAAAGAAACTTCCTAGTGGCAGCAGTTGAAGCAAGAGCTTCAACTGGTAAAACTGATCAATTAGCAAGAAATCATGTAAAATTAAGTCCTTTCTAAAATTTTCACTCATATGTTTAAAGGTATATTTTTTTTCATTTATGTTAATGTAAAACTTAATAGTATTGTACCAAAAGAACCTTTGAAAACTTACCTAACCCAGCATCAGACCACAGCTGAGGAACTTGCTTCAGAGGAGGAGGAAGAGGGAGTGAAGGAGGTGCCTTCTTCAGTGATTAAGGACGTGTGGAATGTGGAATAAGTTGCAAAGTTTTTTGGAAAAATACCACCCTGAGCAAGCTGAAACAAGCCATCTCTGCAACATGTTCAGTGACAAAACACTGTCCCATTTTAGGTAAATTTTAGAGAAGCCAGAAACAGAGCACTCTTGAAAGTTATTTTGTGCGACAGGGGTCCACTGACTCTCAAGCTGGTCCTAGTGGCATAAAAAGACAAAGAAGGGAAGTAACCCCAGATAAGGACTTGTTACCTAAAGTGTTTATGGAAGGGGATTTCCCTTCCAAACAATAAGTCCTCCCTCTCTCCTCCTCCCTATCTTCCAGATACCAGCAAAACTCTTCAATAAAGGTACGTAAATGTGATTTTAAAAATTTATTTATGTTTTGTATTACTCATTTAAGTACTATATGTATGTTAAACTGTAGGTAGTAGGTTGGTAGACAGCAACCACTCAGGGAGGTACTACCGTCCTGCCAAGTGAGTATAAAATGAAAGCCTGTAATTGTTTTACATGATGGTAGGATTGCTGGTGTATTTTTCCTGTCTCATAAACATGCAAGATTTCAGGTACATCTTGCTACTTCTACTTACACTTAGGTCACACTACACATACATATACAAACATACATATACACACCCTTTTGGGCTTTCTTCTATTTTCTTTCTAGTTCTTGTTCTTGTTTATTTCCTCTTATCTCCTTGGGGAAGTGGAAAAGAATTCTTCCTCCGTAAGCCATGCGTGTTGTAAGAGGCGACTAAAATGCCAGGAGCAAGAGGCTAGTAACCCCTTCTCCTGTATATATTACTAAATGTAAAAGGAGAAACTTTGTTCTATCTAGGCTGGAATATTGCTGCACACTAACAGCACCTTTCAAGGCAGGTGAAATTGCTGACCTAGAAAATGTACAGAGAACCTTCACGGCGCGCATAACGGAGATAAAACACCTCAATTACTGGGAGCGCTTGAGGTTCCTGAACCTGTATTCCCTGGAACGCAGGCGGGAGAGATACATGATTATATACACCTGGAAAATCCTAGAGGGACTAGTACCGAACTTGCACACGAAAATCACTCACTACGAAAGCAAAAGACTTGGCAGACGATGCAACATCCCCCCAATGAAAAGCAGGGGTGTCACTAGCACGTTAAGAGACCATACAGTAAGTGTCAGGGGCCCGAGACTGTTCAACTGCCTCCCAGCATACATAAGGGGGATTACCAACAGACCCCTGGCAGTCTTCAAGCTGGCACTGGACAAGCACCTAAAGTCGGTTCCTGACCAGCCGGGCTGTGGCTCATACGTTGGTTTGCGTGCAGCCAGTAGCAACAGCCTGGTTGATCAGGCTCTGATCCACCAGGAGGCCTGGTCACAGACTGGGCTGCGGGGGCGTTGACCCCCGGAACTCTCTCCAGGTAAACTCCAGGTAAACTCCGCCTCGGTGGGATACGGCCGGTCTGTTGAAAGAAGATGTATGTTAAACTATAGTTATTCTTTAAAAAATGTATTTTTTGTGAATATTTTTGTGTGTCTGGAACAGATTAATTGTTTTTACATTATTTCTTGTGGGAAATATTGGTTCGACTTTCGGCCGTTTTGAGTTGAGGCCTAACTTCTGGAACAGATTACGGCTGAAACTTGGGGTTCCACTGTACATGTATTTTTTTTTTTCATTACAATGGGTGAGTTTGTAGTTATTGTACAAATTAGGAAAACACCTAGTTATACTAAAGCTAAGCACCAGATAGTGTTTCCATTTATATTTGAGAAGATAAAGCTTTATATTCCACTACAGCATTACAATACTTTCATTTCCAGTACATTATCACTTTTACTTCAGACAAATGTCCTTTCCAGTTTTCATTTTCAGATTAAACATTGATGCTATCACTGATAACCCTTTCCTTTATCACAACTAGGGGTATGTCAAAGCTTAAGTATCAGTGGTATCAGCTAATTTTGATGGCATCAGTATCAGTCTAAAATTGGTATCATTGGGTATCATGAAATTTTGATGGTATTAATATTGACTTATAATTGAGTGTCAGTATTGGCAAAAATGTTGGAACTGTCCCATCCCTAATCACAACTATTACAATGATCCTATGTCATTGTGCCTTCCACAGCCGCAGTCTGTCATCAGGTGGTGCATACTCGGATGAAGGAATTTACATTGAACGACGGTCAACTGCCAACAGTTCACGAATGGGCTCAAGTGGGAGTTCAACTGGTAAAGGGAGTTATGATTCTGGGACAGGTCATGAGATTCCTGAAGCCTTCAGATACCGGATCCCCACTAAAGAACAGCTGGAACGCTCAGGACCTATACCGGAACACATAGTGAGTTTATATACTTGCACCCACAGTAACTACATATTTGCCTTCTCTCAATCATGAAAGCCAATGAGAAACTTGTCCTGGACAGTTAATAGCTATGATATGGGAAACAAATTTTTCTCTTAGATGTATTATACCCTATCAGGAATTTTAAATCAAAGATATTAGAATTACATGCTACGAAAAAAGCATGCCTGAAAATTTACAAAATAAAAAAAATCCCAATTTTTTTTAACATTAATTTCAGATTTTTAAATTATTTAAATTTGCACTCTTGCAGAACGTTACAATATGTACAATACACTTGTTTGTTTCCATATTCTCATGGCAACTGTGAGGATAAAAAACTCATAGTTCTAAGTTTTTTTTTTTTAGTTAAACTTCTCTAGTGACCACTATACGTATTTTGTTTCCCACAAACATTCCAGGATCATGATATGCGTGGCATAAGACTCGGCCATGCCCTTCCTGGGAAACCAGATTATATATTACGAGAATTGCCAAAATGGCCTGACTGGAGTAAAAATGTTAAGAAGTTTTGATGCCTTTAGAGGTTAGTTAAAATATTCCTGCACGATTATGCGTTAGACTGCTTTGAAGTCTTTAGTGCCAAATCTGGTAGCTGTAGCATTGAAGACTTTTTTATATGACCTTTGACAACTCTCAACTTCTGCCTGAGGCATTTAGTGAAGGTTTCATTCATTCTTGTGACTGAAGCTGCCTGGCTGATGTAGATATGTTTTCTTATGGATGCTAAATTATGAATTTTCTGCATAAAGCAGGCTACGTATTGCTTTTCTTCATTGCTGTTTACATTAGTTGTAGGTTTTAAGTATATAGATATTTATTTTGAATTTTAATTCATGATTTCTAGACATAATTTTGGCTTAATTGGTATAATACAGTTCAGTCTTATACGGTAAACTCTTGTACAACATATAATTTTATGTTTCCAAAAATAATATTGTATAAAGAATTTGTCGTGTAAAAACTGAAGTACATACGAAAAAAACTGGATTACTTCTCAGGATAAGACCAAGTAAAAATATATTTAGTAATTTATATAGCAAAAATACATCCCCAGTAAACTTCTTGTTTTGATCACTGGCACTAGACCTGGAGAAGTATATACTGTATATTAAAACTTGATAAATATGTTTAAGATTGGGAGGAAGTGAAAGAAACACAGTTCTTAGATATGGATTGGTGTATGAAGTCTGTATGTGAAGGTTGGTCTGACTAAACTATGAGGGCAGATTTCTGGCTATTTCATATTCCACATGAACTGTTTGAACTGTTTACATCAGAGCATAATGACACAAGAATGAAGGTACACTGCATTAGGCTCTTTGGTCTATGCTATGCTAGGCAGGTTCATCTCATACCCACCCACACTGAGTCACGTAAAAATTGAACCTATGTTTAAAGCTACCCAAAGTTCTCTCCTTAGGGATGTTTCCTGGGAGTTTGTTCCACTCATCTACAACTCTGTTGCCGAACCTGTACTTACCAATATCTTTTCCAAATTTAAATCTGTCTAGCTTCGTGTTTTCAACACACTACATATTTATATCAGCTCAGAACTGTTTGGGAAAGAGTGTGATAATGTATTTCAGAGGTGCAGTCTTACCTCCAATCCCCACTTCAAGACTTGTGGGCCCTCTCATGTACCTGCTTCTAAAACTATGTATGAAGCCTGACTCCACCACCTCAAGGTTATTCCACTTCTCAATTGCTATGAAGAAATGCTTCCTGATATTTCCATGGCTTATCTATGTCTTTAACTTCCAGCTGTACTCTCAAATAATGAGATCACATTCAAAATATAATCAGTTCAATTATGTATATGGCTCTTCAGAAACATATTCTTTTTATTTCTGTCTACCTTATCAATACTGTTAGCCTCTCTTCATAGATCATACCCTCTAGCACTGGAACAAATCTCTGCATACTTTTCGGGTATGGGTTCCATGCCAATGATGCATACTCCAAAATGGGATTGACATACATTGTATGGAGGGCCCAAAATGTCTCTGGTAAGATTTCTGAAGGCTACTCTTGTATTTGCCAGATAAGCATTGACTGCAAGCGTCATTTGGTTAATGTGAGCCTCTGGCATTATACTAGGCAGTATGTGTGCCCCTAGGTCATTTTCTGAGTGAAGTCTGCAGCCTCTGTACCCCAAGTCTACTGTGTTCAGACATCTGGCCCCTTCTCCAATTTTCATAACCTTGCATTTACTGAAGTTGAATTCAGGCAACCACATATCTGACAACTCTAGTAGTTTGTCCATATCAATTTGTAGCCTTTCTCTAGCCTTATCTGTGTATATTCTCCTCATTAGCTGTACACCATCAGTAAACAGGTATGCATCTGATGCAACCCCATCATCTGGTATGTCATTCACATTAACCAGAAAATGTACAGGTCCTAATATCTTTCCTTGAGGGACCCTGCTTACTACTCTTCTCTGTTTTAACACCTTTTCTCTGACAATCACTCTTCACTTCCTTCCTCTAAGGTACACTTTGATCCATGAGAGTATATTCCCTGTTGTCTCCTTTCTTAAAAACAGGGACTACATTCACTGTTTTCCAGTTCTATGGCAACTGTCCCATGTTCCATTGATTTCTTGTAGATCTTAGCTAGTGGTTTGGAGAGTACTTCTAGGTCCCTTTCACAGAATCCATGGTGACACCTTGTCAGGTCCCATTGCCTGTGAAGTATCCAGCTCCATCAAAAGATTTATTACCTCTTTCCTCTTGTATGCATGGTATCCAGTACCTGTTGGTATACTTTTCCCTAGGCTTTTGGCATTTCTTCCCCCCCTTCATTTTTGTGCATGAGAGGGAGAGAAAGAATGCAGTATATATGTATAAGATGGCTCTAGGCTCATGACAGAAGTACTAAGATCAGTCAGACCCTCAATACTTAATTCTGCACAATAAGAATCTTTAATGCAGTTTACCAATCATACTGATCACATACAGTGCACATGTCACATATGGAATACTGAAAGAAATGAAACATCTGATAATAGGAAATTCACATAAAGTGAACCCTCATAAGATAAGGGAAATCTGCACTGTATGCATGACTGATAAAATAAGACTGATAGAATGATAATGTAATATTCATTCACCCACACCCAGTAGCATCTGGAAGTTTATCTTTTAGATTATTATTACCTGGAGTTTACTTGGAGTTTACCTGGAGAGAGTTTTGGGTGTCAACGCCCCCACGGCCCGGTCTGAGACCAGGCCTCATGGTGGATCAGGGTCTGATCAACCAGGCTGTTACTGCTGGCTGCACTCAAGCTGATGTATGAACCACAGCCTGGTTGGTCAGGTACTGACTTTAGGTGCCTGTTCAGTGCCTTCTTGAAGACAGCCAGGGGTCTATTGGTAATCCCCCTAATGCATGCTGGGAGGCAATTGAACAGTCTTGGGCCCCGGACACTTATTGTGTTGCCTCTCAGTGTACTCGTGGCACCCCTGCTTTTCATTGGGGGAATGATGCATCTCCTGCTGAGTCTTTTGCTTTCATATGGAGTGATTTTCGTGTGCAGGTTTGGTACCAATCCCTCCAGGACCTTCCAAGTGTATATTATCATGTATCTCTCCTGCCTGCATTCGAGGGAATACAGATCAAGGACCTTCAACCGTTCCCAGTAGTTTAGGGGCCTTATCGCACTTATGTGTGCAGTGAAAGTTCTTTGTACACTCTCCAGGTCTGCAATGTCACCAGCCTTGAAGGGGGCCATTAGTGTACAGCAGTATTCCAGCCTAGAGAGCACAAGCGATTTGAAGAGAATCATCATGGGCTTGGCGTCCCTAGTTTTGAAGATTCTTATTATCCATCCTATCATTTTCCTAGCGGATGAGGTAGATACATAGTTGTGGTCTTTGAAGGAGAGATCCTCTGACATTATCACTCCCAGGTCCTTCACATTACTTTTCTGCTCTATTGTATGGTTAGAATTTGTGGTATACCCTGACACATTTTTAATTTCTTCAAGTTTTCTATATCTGAATAATTGAAATTTCTCCTCGTTGAACTTCATATTGTTTTGAGTGGCTCATTCGAAGATTGGTTGATGTCCGCTTGGAGTCTCACAGTGTCTTCGATGGAGGTCACTGCCATGGTGATCCGGGTGTTATCCGCAAAGGAAGACACGGAGCTATGGCTTACATTTGTCTATGTCAGAAATGAGGATGAGGAATAGAATGGGAATGAGACCGTGCCTTGTGGAACAGAGCTTTTTACCATGGCTGCCTGGGACTTTACTCTATTTACTATTGCTTTTTGTGTTCTATTTGTCAGGAAGTTGTAGATCAATCTACCAACTTTTCCCGTTATTCCTTTATCCCGCATTTTGTGTGTTATTACACCATGGTCACACTTGTCGAAAGCTTTTGCAAAGTCTGTGTATACTACATCTGTATTTTGTTTATCTTCTACAGCATCCAGGACCTTGTCATAGAGGTCAGTAGCTGGGACAGGCAGGAGCGACCTGCTCTAAACCCGTGTTGCCTTGGGTTGTGTAACTGATGGGTATCTAGGTGGTTGGCTATCTTGTTTCTTAGATTATTATTATTATTACAATCAAGGGGGAAGCGCTAAACCCGGAGGATTACTTGTTTCTTAGAACCCTCTCAAAGATTTTTATGATATGGGATGTTAGTGCTATTGGTCTGTAGTTCTTTGCAATTGCTTTACTGCCACCTTTGTGGAGTAGGGCTATGTCTTTTGTTTTTAGTGTGTGTGGGATGATCCCTGTGTCCATGCTCCCTCTCCATGAAATGCTGAAAGCACGTGATAGGGACTTCTTGCAATTCTTGATGAACACAGAGTTCCACGAGTCTGGGCCTGGGGCAGAGTGCATGGGCATGTTATTAATTGCCTCTTCAAAATCTTGTGGAGTTAGAATAACATCCCAGAGTTTTGGGACAGCCAGATATTGGGTTTTGTTCATAAAGAATTCATTTGGATTGTCGACTCTTAGAGTGGGCAGTGGATCGCTGAACACTAAGTCATATTGGGGCTTTAGTATCTCACTCATTTCTCGGCTATCATCTGTGTATGTCCCATCCCGTCTAAGCAGGGGCCCAATACTGGATGTTGCTTTTACCTTAGATTTGGCATAAGAGAAGAAGTATTTTTTTATTTCAATTTCCTTTATGGCTTTCAGTTCTTCCTGTGATTATTGTCTCCTATAAGATTCCTTTAGCTTAAGTTCGATATTTGCAGTTTCAGTGACTAGTGCTTCCCTTCGCATTTCAGATATATGGACCCCACTCAGCAGCTCTGTGACTCTTCGCCTTCGTCTGTATAGGGAACATCTCTTTCTAGTTTACATCTTCTCTTTCTTTTTCTTAATGGAGTGTGTCTTGAGCAGATCTCAAGAACCACAGAATTAATTTTTTCAAGGCAGATGTTTGGATCTGTGTTGTTTAGGATATCTTCCCAGCTTGTTTCATTTAGGACATGGTTTACTTGATCCCATTGTATGTTTTTGGCTATTGAAATTGAATTTAATGAAGAGGCCGTCAT